GGTTTAAACTTTAGTTAGTTGTCTCGTTAGGTTCCTCCCGTGTCTGTTTCCGCCCTATGTTTTTTATCTGTTTAAGTATCCATCGCCCTTTGCTTGTCTCAGTGATGACTTTGTCTGCCTTTGTGTTGCTCTTGCTTCCTCTCTCCCTCTGTTTCTTGCCTCGTCTTGATTATGTTTTGCCTTGTATGATTCTATCAGGCGGGTTGTTCTCCCTAACTGTCATGTTCTCTGTATTTGTTTCTTATGTCTGTTTTCCATCTCCCATTTTGTTTCCCTGATGTTATGTCAAGCCTGTGCTTCTTACGTCTGATTTTTTATTGTGACTCGCAGCCCATGTTCAGTGTGCTTTCTCTTGTCTTCTCACTATGTTCATTCATCCTAGCTATGAACCCTGTGTTTTGTTTTCCCTCGTTACCCTCATGTGTATTTAGGTCTGCTGTTATTCATTGCTGCATTGTCTTTTATGTTCACACCATGTCTCCAAGTTTCTATGCATCCTCGCCTGGTTTTCATGTTTAAGGTTGTCACGTTTGTTTTCTAGTCTCCCGGATTAGGTTAGCTTAGTGTCAAATTGTTCTCTCTGTATCTGGGCCACACAATCTGATCTTTCCTGCCTTCCATATTCCATTCCCTTGCTAGTAGCTAGAGTGTTGGAAGATTCTGTTAGCTGTTTCTGGATGTGCTCTGGGCTGGAACGTAGTGTTGATTGTGGCTGGCTTACATCTATACACAAGTGTGTTCCTAGCTGTTGGTGGCTAAGCTCCAAGCTAGGGGCTGATATTAAATGGCCGGGCCCTGAGCTAGAATCTAATATTGAGTGTGGCTGGCTAAGCTCTTGACTGGGAACTGCTACTGGCTGGATTTGACTGAGTCCTGATCTGGAGTCTATGAGGGAGTCTGTACGACAATGAACTTCGAAAGGGGTGCTGATACCCTGAGGACTGTTGGGATTCTCCTGCCTCTGGACTTCAACCTCTGGACTGCCTCTGGACTTTGACCAGCCACAAATGCAGTTCTGCGACTTCCTTCCTACCATCATTGATGGTCCATTATTAGCTGGTTGGTTCTATTCATCGTTGGTACCGTACCATTCCGTGGTTCGTTGCCATTAAATCTGTCCAGAAAGGGTCTTCTTCCCCCTCTGCTCTCGCAGACCCTAGGGGTATCTTCTCTTTTGAGATTTCTGTAGCAATAATGGGTGCACCCAGCTTCGCTAAAAAGTGCTGGGTCCTGCTGGTATGAGGCACTTACCTACACCAGCTCCGTTAGGGTCTGTTCCCTCCTGTCACCAGTCTTTCCAAGCTGTCATCTGGTCTTTCTCTGATTGTCAGCTGCCCTTTCGCAGTGGTCACTGAATCACTCCAGAGTACTGATTCAGTTAAAAGGGCTAGATGTTACAGTCCCTGATAATGGATTGCTTTAGATGGAGAGACTCTTGAGGGATGGCTGTTATGAGGAAAGGCAGCCCAGAAACTTTGCCAGCAGCACACATCAATTTTAAAAAATATTTCTAAGCATAAATGAGCAAGGTAACATAGCAACCTAGCTAGCCCTCAATGTCTACGTGTATTTAAAATTGAGAGGTGGGCAACGATGCCAGGGGTGAGGTGTACACCCTGATGGTAATTTGGACTCCGTGTATCGTGCCCACCCCCAAGATCCTATATGTATGTGTAATGAGAGTGTGAGTAATGTGAATGTCTAAGTTGTGGGATTTTGGTATTCTGTGTCCTCCCCCCTTGTGTCCGGTTCGTGTTCTAGATTTCCTGTTTTATTCTGAAGGTCTCTGTCTGTTGTCATTGTGTTCAGCTTGTGTCCTCCAGTCATCATGTGTATTAGGATCAGCTGTTCTTCCCTCCTGTGTGTGATTACCCGATTACCTTGTGTGTGTATATTTAGTGGGTGTCGGTCTGTGTTCGTTGTCGGCTCGTCTGTGCTTCTTGGTGTCCTATTCGTTAGTCTGCATCTCTCTGCCTCTCACCCCGTTTCCTGAGAATTTCAAATTTGCTCTTTAGTTTTTCCCAGTTTAGGTTTCCGTTAGTATCTCTCATGTTTCATTTCCCGTTTTTGTCGCCCTGCCACTCTGTAAATAAACGTCACCTCTCATCAGTCGCTTGCTTGCATTTTGGGTCCTCGTTCATCCACTGCACGACTGCTGCCCCAGCCGTGACAGAGAGTTGACACATAGAAC